TATGTATGTATCCATGTATGTATGTATGTATGTATGTATGTATGTATGTATCCATGTATGTATGTATGTATGTATCTATGTATGTATGTATGTATGTATGTATGTATGTATGTATGTATGTATATAGGTATATAGATATCTTTATATATATATATACACAGAGTTACATTATAGTCCGTCTGTCTGTCTGTCTGTCTGCCTGTTTCTGTGTCTCTCTATCTCTCTGCCCCGTTGTCTATCTGTCTACCATCTATCTATCTATCCATCTCTCTGTCTATCTGTCTATGGGTCTATCTGTCTGTCGGTTATTTGTCTGTCTGTCCATCTGTCTGGGGGTCTATCTGTCTCTCTGTCTATCAGTTTATCTGCCTATCTGTCTATCTGTCTATCTATCTACCTACCTACCTACCTACCTACCCACCCACCTACCTACCTACCTACCTACCTACCTACCTACCTACCTACCTACCTACCTACCTACCTACCTATCTCTCTATCTGTCTATCTATCTATCTATCCATCTATCTATCTATCTATCTATCTATCTATCCATACAGCTGCCGAGCCATTTATCTATCTATCTATCTATCTATCTATCTATACAGGTGTCCAGCCATTTCTCTATCTATCTATTTATCCAGCGATCTGCCAATCTATATTTATAGCGATAGATCGGTCTATCGATCGATCTATCTATCTATCTGTCTATCTATAATTTGGTAGGATGGGATAGGATATGATACGACATGATATACAATGTGTTGACATGTGTTGATGTGCTATGATATGATATGATGTGATGTGATGTGATGTGATGTGATGTGATATATGTATGTCTATCCAGAGAAGCTGGATTTCTACTGCAGCCTTTGAACCCAGCCTAGGTTCTTGGGAACAGGCTGGAAGAAGATGCCCCACTTATGGAGGCAGGCCTGGACTCGCTGTCGGCTGTGGACTTCAGGAACCAGGCGGGTGTGCCAAAATTAGGCTCATTGTGACAAAATGGAGTCCTTGTGCGGGCCATAACAGAGAACCCCGACATAGCGAGTCTGAATTCACGGAACTCTGCTTCAGTTCTCATGCCTTCATTGCTCTTGATGTCCGAATGCGATCTTGACGGTGAAATGTTCGAAAGATTCCCAGACTACCTTCGACCAAGGTGGCCAAGCAACTTCCTGGCCTGAAGCTGCCAAACACGCTCCTTTGCTTCAGCTTCAGAGGGCCGAGGGTAGCCCTGTGAGTTTTTGGCGTCAGCTTCAGCTTCTCACACCGAACAACCGAGGCTCATGTTTGACTACCCCAGTCCCGGTGGGATCGCAGATTACGCCATGTCTCAGCTCGTGCCACCAGTTGCTCCAGCAGTTGTTGCGGAGCAGGTTCCCGAGGCACAAAGTCTTTGTGGTCCCCTTGCGGTGGTCTCCACTGCTTGCCGCACCCCCGCTGGCGGTGAGGACTTGAACGCCTTGTGGGCAGCCTTGTTGCAGAAGGTTGACGGCGTTACAGCAATTCCATATGAGCGCTGGGATGTTGACGAGTACTATGATGCTTCCCCTCAAGTTGGCCGCATGTACGTGCGACATGCTGCCTTCATCAATGCAGAGTGGTTTGACGCCGCCATATTCGGAATCTCCGTCGCCGAGGTGCCCAGACCATGCAGTCTAGAGTCTAGAGGGCTCCTTCACATTCAGAGCTGAGTAAGATTTGTGGGAGGCGGCGACGATGGACCCGCAGCAGCGTGTGCTCCTGGAGATTGTTCAGGAGGGCCTCACTGCTGGAAAGGCCGGACGGTGCTTCACACACACTCTTTCCTGTGTCCTTCTGCCACAGCTGTTACAGCCGTACATCTCGGTTTTGCTCTTTGTGAGGCAGGTGCATGTGCTTTGCCTGCATTCATGCCGCAAAGGCCTTGCTTGCCGTTGGCACTTCGAGTTCACCCCTCACAAGCAAAGACATTGGGGCCTTCGTGGGGGAGTGCAACAATGATTGGGGTCATTTCATGAACCTGGCGACAGAATCTATGAACCCCTTCAGTGGAACTGGCCTCTCCATGTCAATTTCGTCCAACCGGCTGTCTTACGTCTTCGGCTTCAAAGGGCCAAGCATCACATCTGACACCGCTTGCTCGTCCTCCCTGGTGGCGCTTGATACCGCTGTTGCAAGCATAGGTCGCAGCCGTTGCGCTGCGGCAGTGTCAGCGGGCGTGAACATGAACATTCTGCCAGGCCCCTTCGTCGCATGCTGCCAAGCCAAGATGCTGTCGGCAGATGGGCGGTGCAAGACCTTTGATGCCTCAGCCGATGGCTACTCCAGGGGTGAGGGTGCAGGTACTGTGCTTGTCCGGCCGCTTGCGGCGTTCGACACAGAAGCAGGATCTTCGTTGCCAGCAGTCGCGGGCACAGCCGTGAATCAAGATGGACGCAGTTCTTCACTTACGGCTCCGAACGGTCCGTCGCAGCAGCAGGCCCTTAGAGCGGCGTGGCACGAGGCCGGCCTGCCTCCATCTGCTGCTGCTTACATTGAGACACATGGTACTGGCACCAGCCTGGGGGACCCTATCGAGATTGGAGCTATATGCAGCATCATGGGTGAAGGGCGTGGAATCCCTTTGCATGTGGGGGCTGTGAAGACAAATGCCAAGGCCTTAGTCAATTGCAACTATGCACGTGGCACTCATGCCTCATGTGTGGTGCTGCGTGCCTGATGTCTTCAAGGTGAGCCACCTGGAGGGTGCAGCAGGGATTGCGGGACTCTTGAAAGCTATTGCAGCTATGCATCACGGCCAAGTGCCTCCTAACATCCACTTGGCCGAACTCAATCCTCACATGGACTTGGAGGATGTCAACATGAACTTCCCAACGGAGTCGGCAGTCGAGCTGTCCGGGACAAAGTGCACCTTTGGGTTGTCTTCTTTTGGTTTCGGCGGTACAAACTCGCACGTCGCTGGGATTGCGCCGGCTGCGAGTGCTGAAATGCAGCCTGTAGAGGACCGAGCTAACACAGCTTCCAAAGTAGGAGAGCACTCGTCGTAGACGTAAGTATTTCGGTGCAGTTCATGTGGCTGATCCTTGGAGGAGAAGATGAAGTTCAATCGGCAGAGGTTCAGTTGGTCTCGAGCAAAGCATCCTTTCTCTGTGCCGCGCCAAGGCTTGGTAAGAGGTTCCGGGTGTCATGATGCGGAGACCATGAAGCATGACCTCCGCAACTGCGACATTCTGTACTTATCATGTGAAGCTTGTGACAGGTGGAGAGCACGGCGGGAGCGTGTTCGCAGCTCCTATCAATGGAAAAGTTCTAAAGCTGCTGTCGCACCACATCGTTCACGGGGAGATTGTCGTACCAGGACGGGCATGACGGAGACAGGACACGAGGGTAGGCTACCGCTCAGCTTTGTCAGACTTACCCCTCAGACCTGTGTATACCCATGTAGCTTAGCCTGCCATCGAAGCGCACAGACAGTACCCCTTTCCGAGAGAAACCGCCGCAAGCAGTCGGTAACTTGACAAGCTTGATAGGTGTTTGCGGAGATAGGGTTTGCGGAGTAGCTCCTGTTCAGCTTCAGCTTCATTGTTTTGTGCAGGCGCCACGTACATCGAAATGGTGATTGCAATCTGTGCATTACGTTTCGGCATGACTGGCAAGCGGTTCGCATTAGAGAACATTGGCTTCCAGAATCCTTTGGTGCTGCGCCCGATTGACGACAAGGTGCGGAGTTGCAGGTGGAAGTAGAGAGCAAGGTTCAGAGGTGCGGTAGTAGGAAAGTTGCTCAGCCCCATGCCCGGAAGCCATCAGAAGCCCAGGAATCTCAAGGTCGAAAGCTTCCTGTGATTTGGGAGAGAGCACAGGAAGCTTATTTCGGTCGCCCGAAACCTCAGCGATTCTTGTACCGGCCTTCATTTCACTTGAATCCTTTCATCGTTTTTCGGAGTTCTCAATCTAGTCAGTCAATGCTGAGGGGCGGTTTGAGGAACACATTACAACCCACATGAAGTTGTCTGCAAACATCAGCCTTCCTACGCAGAGCCCGGGGCGAGACGCAAACATCCAAAGCAAAATGGCCAAACCATTCCTCGAGCGGAGTCATATATCAATTGGTGTGCGTGTTGACAGGAGCTGTTTCTGTTCCAAGCCTGCTTGAGGAGCAGTTGTGTTCGGGGTGCGACGGTCACCTCTCAAAGAGAGCAAAGACCTCGCAAATCGGACCCTGCGTCCCCATGTCGCTGCTGAAGCTGGAGCGCTGGGTTTTCGAGGAACCGCGAAAGGCAACAGCAATTTTCGCGGCAGGCGTTCTTGCACTGAGGCGGGAACTCGGGCCTATGAAAATGTCGCCCGTGCACCTGCTAGATTCTAGCCGAACTTCAGGTGGTTGCTGCAGCGCAAGATTGATCGCTTCCGCCCCTCGGAGAAGAGTTTTCTCAGTCTTCCAAGTCTCTGTCGTCAGCCGATTGGTAGCAGGACAGGTGCCGGGAGTCTTCTACCTTGGCGTCCTGCCGGAGATCGGATCAGGCTCGGACGTAACGGCTGCGGTGTCTCAACAAAAGTAATTACCCATGAAACCGATCCTGCTGAGCAAGGTAGCAAGCTGGCAGAGAAGCTCGACGAGTTTTCTGAAAAGCACGGTGAGGAGGGTGTCTACGAGATGGAGTTTGTCAGCCGGCTAACAATACAACAGCTTGCTCGCGCTTGTGTAGAAATCTAAATGCCCCGAAGTGAAGTGCCGAGGTAGGGACTCGAACCATCGTCTGCTGTGGGTGGGACGCCATGTCCACCGTGCTGAAGCTTCGTCCCTTCAAGGTTACCAAAGGCCTGCATCGAATCGCAATGACACTGCAAGTAGGATTCTCGTCTGGCGCCTCTCCAGACATGGCAGGTGGCATCGGGGACTCGGTTCCAGACTTGGCCTTCAGCGACGGGGTCTTCTTTTCCGAGCACGCTAAGTGGCAGCGCGAGCGGCGTGCCGCGGCTGCAGTGTCAGGACATGTCAGGACCACTGACCTGCTTACCAGTATGTCTGACCCAGCAGGCATCCTTTCTCCGGCCTTCAACATGAAGAACGTTGCATCTGGGCCAGTCAGAAGGTTTGCAAGCGGAAAGGTGCCGGAAGCATCAAGTCACCACAGCCACAGTCGTTTCGACCAAGGCAAGCTATGCTCCTTCCGTTTGCGCTGTGATGGATCAGTTCATGGATGCCCTGGATGAAGACTGCCGGCTCCGGGGAGAGACCAACTTCTCGGAGTCCACGACAAGAAAGTCCTTTTTTTTTGTGGTGTTTCCGAATTCGAAGTAAGGCTCCGAGCAGTTTGAGTCAGATGCCCGGAGCAAACTCACCGCAGAACAGTTGCATCAACTTCAACTCCGGGGTGTTGCGAGAGGAGAACACCGGGAAGGAGAGTAGCCAATCTTGCCAACAGAGCGCGCTGTCACATCCCAAGCCCTTCCGCTCCTGGTACCGTTAAGAGACTGCCCCGGCCTGATCCCTTTCCACCCAAGGACCTTTTGCCCATGCTTGCGGCGGATCTTGTTTGCAAGACCGGTGTCGGAAGAGACTTTGGGCTGCTACCGGCGAGAAGTCAAGAGGAGGTGAAGCAGGTGCGCGAGATGCTGAACACTTTGGGCTCCCGTCTCTGGAGCCCTCTTCCCTACTGGAAGATCCCCGGCCTCGCGAGGCATTGCGCAGATGTTCCGGGCTTCAGGCTCAGTCTTCAGAACTGCTGTGGCACAGCACTTGTTGCGCGCAGGCGTCTTGACCCTGGCTTCGTTGCTGATGAAAAGATGAGACAGAAGCTGAATGGCATGCTGGACAACGTGACGGGCGAAGGTGCCACCGTGTTTGACAAGCTTAAGAAGATGGCGGCTGAAGGCGAATCTCTCAGCCGCGAGGACCAGTTGGCATCCGGTAGACTCATGGGCACTAGGGAATTCCACCTGCCCGGAGTGCAGAGATCACCTGAAAGACAAGCCTTGCTGTCAAGGACCTCCTGGGGAACTTGATGGTCCTTTTTGTGGCCGGCACGGACACCACAAGTCAGGCTCTATCCTGGGCCTTCTACCAGCTTGCCTGCCTTCCGGAACTACAGGAGGAGCTGGCTGCTCAGCTGAAGATGCTGCCCGATGGCCATCTGATGCCGGATCAGCTTGATTCTTGTCTGAAAAGCTGTGCGAAGATCAGAGCATGTCATCTTCATAGGAGCCATGTGCCATGTCGCTTGGCTGAGGAGTCCGTGGAGTTATTGAGCGCGATGTGGCTGGAGACATTGCGATTTCACGGCGCTGCCCCGTTCCAGTCGGTGATGAACCTTGAGCCCATCACACTTGCCGGCCGTACCGTGCCTGCCCGCACTAAGATTTGGCTGCACTACCGCTACATTATGAACAACTCGCCGGAGATGAAGAAGAAGCTGGGTGAAGATCTTAACATCTTTCGGCCTGCGCGCTGGATCGGCCCGGAAGGCATCATCAAGGTTCCGCCTTTCGACAGCTTGGCCTTTGGGCACGGTCCACGCATTTGCCTTGGCCGGCACTTGGCAGATTATGAGGGCAAGATAGTGCTGGCCATGGTGCTGAAGAAGTTCGTGCTGGAGAAGTGGACAAAGCCACCCATGGAAGAACGAACAGGAGCTTCTTGGGATTTTGCAGCAGTGCGGTTTGCTTGACCAGCTATGTACGAACTGTCAGGATTCTTGATCTTCCCCGCCGAAGACATTGTCGTCCGTCTGAGCCGCCGGGAATAAGCTCCTTAAATTTTTTCAAGAGCAGGTTCAGTGTTGAAGAACCGCGGAAGGCCTGCGGCTCGTTCAATCGTGTTCGCAAGCCTTCCACCGCTCAGTGAGGGGAATCGCCTTGAACCCGTTGTTTGTGCGACCTTCATGTAAGGCGGCACTTCAGGCGTCTCGTTGACTCGCCGGTCGCTTTGTCGGTTGCTGTTTATAGGGCTGCTTCCTGAAAGGGATCTCTTCCGCCCACCTGCATGCTGTCACAGGGTTTTGGCTGTCGCAGACAGAAACAGTCGATACTGTTGGCATCGGTCATCGTTTCGGGGACTGCTTCATGCTGAGCCCTTGTTTGCATCTGCGCATTGTAGGGGAATCTGCAGCTGGATCCTGGCGTGGACCTCTATCTGCAGGTCCAGGAGCATTGAGAAGATCAGAAATCCTACACGCTGTGCTGTTGGGATCACCTTTTTTTGACTCGTTAGGAGGATACGGGTCGGTGGACCATGGGCAGCGTCGATTCTGGAACATCAGACATCATGAACATCCACGCGGAAGGGTCTCTGAGTTTTTTTGCGCAGAAGGCAACGCAGGGCGTTTGCTCGTACTGGAGTTCGAGTTTAAGTTCAGATGCCAGCATCGGGATGTCGGCGTCGACAAGGCGGCCTTGGCCGCTCAGTGAAACCCTCTGCCCCGGAAGGATTCACAAGTCTCCCGGGACCCCAGAATCCAAGCTGAGATCCGAGTATGATTCAGCAAGTGAGCTTCTGGGAGCATTTCTGTTGAACGACAAGCCTTGTTCTGTGCCGCTGAAAGTGAAAGGCCTCTGGCACGATGGCGGAGTTTCGACAGCTGCGCCTGGATGATGTCCTGGGTCGCTGCCCAGAAGTGGTGGAGCCTGCGCGGGACTTCTACGTGCCAGTGCTGCTAATTTCGGGCAGGTGAGGCAAGGTGCGCTCCTTCAGGTTCTTGATCAGCCGAACCTCGACCCATCTCTGGGCACAGCGGGTATAGTATCTTCTAGTAATCTAGTATATCTGGTCAGCTTAGGCATAGCTCCAGCAATTCAGCCAGGTCTTGTATAAGCTTGTACTGAAAGCACCAGGGACATCAGATAGACTTCGCAGTCGCTCTGCCACGGGACCAAACAACATCCAGTTTTGTTTCCACTCCAATCCCACTCCAGTCAATCCATCTCATCCTGTCAATTCCCTTCAGTCCTCCAGTCCCACAGCCAGCCATCCATCCATCCGCGAGAAAGTCGGCGCCGAGGTGCCTTTTGCAGGAGTTGGCCTGCCGCTTCAGCCGCGGTTTCGGACGGTTCGGAGCATCCAACGCTCCAAGGACTTGGAGAGAAATGACATGAACACCTACTTCCTGATACCATGAGCACCGCAGCCAAAACGTCTGTCGTTCCTGCTGTCCGCACTTTTGACCGTTAACCAAGACCACTGTGTTCTCCAGGACGAGATCATTGCTTGGGTGGCCGAGGAGGACGATGGCACCAACGCCGGGTTTTGCTTCGGCAGCTTGGCTAAGCAAAAGGCAGAGCAACAAAAATGCCGAAGCTTCAAGCTCCCTAAACCCTAAGCCCCAAACCTTAAGCCCCAAAGCCTGAAGCCTGATCTGGTCGCTCGGGTCCGTCGTCGCATCCTTGTCGCGATCAAGGCCCTGCCGTCATCGATGGCAGCTTCCAGGCTTTGGCTTATAAAGGGGTTTAGGGTTTAGGGTTTAGGGTTTACGGTTTAGGGTGGGTATCGCCGGCGAGTGGCAGTGTTGTGGTTGCTTGCTGAAGCAGCCGAGTTCAGGCCAGCTGCGCGTTCCAGAACTTGGAGGCCAGCTCATCTGGAAGCTACTGTAGCTGCCTTCCACCGTCAAGCGCTAGACCGCTGGTCACCCGTCGGATTCTCATCTTTATCAGGCCATGCCCAATCTGCGCATCCCGCTCTCGATCGACCGCGTGCAACTGCTGGGTCAGGGCTTCTCCACAAAGGCAGGGCTTGCTGTGCCGGGGCTTTGGGTTTCGTTTCCGGGCTTGCGATGGCCCGGTGTTAGCTCCGTGGTTTCTGCATGTCTCAAGAAACAGCGGCAAGAAGGAATGTGAATGTGAATCGCCTCTCGCATGCAGGTATGGGTGCGACACGTTCTGCTGAACATCGACGACAAACAAATGGCATCTGAACTGCAGCTCCCAAAGTCCTCGCTTTTGGTTCTGATGCGATGGAAATTATGGCTGATCTAGCTTGGTATTGCGTGTCTCATCAACATGTCAAGCTGTCGGCGTGGCTTTTGGATTCGGATCCTTCGCCTCCTCGGCTTTTCGCTTTGAGTTCCGGGCCCGGGCCCGCACAGCCCGTTGGCCCGTTCTTTTCGAGGAAACAGATCTGGAGATGGCGAAAGATGATCTCACAGTGGTGCTGACCATGGCCTCTCGGTCGTAACCTGTACTTCCCTGCGGTCTACATGTCTTAGCAACTGTCCTGCCACAGAGCTTTGCCGCGAGCGTGCGTTGCCGCTGATTCCAGTTCAGAGTGGGAGCCGCGTCCCGCTCATCCCAGCATCCCGCAGGATCGCATGCGTCTCCGAGAAGTTCGGCCAGATCACATTGTAGCCCGTCGAAGTTGATCGCCGAGAGTTTTAACTTTTTGACTGGAGGGTGTGGGATTTTGTGTGGCGACACAAGGGGGGTCGTGCCAGATGAAAGAGGCCGAAACTTCAAAGCCAACCGAAATTATAGGAGGTCGCCTCTCCAGAGAGGCAAACAGGAGACCGGACAGACTGGCGGATCAAGCTCACGATAGCGTGCTAGCAGGAAAAACCTTTATTTTGCTTGTCCTGCCAGATGCGCTTCCGTTCGCGCACACGTTCAGGCAAAGATGCTGGCGGCTTCGGCCAGGGATGCAGACGAGGACGCCAAGCTTGCGAGGGCGGTCTCAAGTGGAGTGCTGCTGTGGACTTGCCAGTATCAAGCTCAAGCTGCTGTCCATGACGTCAAGCGGTTGCAGATTTGCCAGGCTTGAGGTTGCGATCTATCGCCCTTGCACAGATGTCGGCGTTCGGAGTTGCGAAACGCAATTGTAGATGGCAGCTTGTAGGGCTTACCCAAGGCGGTGACTTGGGGGCTTCATGGCGGTGTGTCGTGTGCAGGACCTGCTTGAGGTTGACTGGGCCGCTGTTGAAGGAAAACGGGTCGAGGACGAGGCATGGACTGAATCAAGCGTGCTGAGTCGAAGTGAGAATTTCTGAAAATCCATCGAAGATACTGACAGTCAGGGTGACGAGACTGAGAAAGAGCAGTGATCGCGCTGGAAGGCCCACCTTCAGCGTCCACTCTTCGTGGGAGCCTGCGATGCTCTGCAGCCCTTCCTGGAGTCTCTCTTTCCCGACGCCCGTTACGTCGGGAAGGCTTGGATCGGATCCTGTTGGTCTGCTGTGCTGTGATGACTGCCTCTGTGTTGCGCTGGTGGTGAAGCGTCCCTCTCAGGACACAGTAGAAGGGGTGCTTTTGGATCCCGGAAGCAGCTTCACCAGCATCGTTCATGTGGCTGCCTTGGGGGAAGCTCACGAAATGGAGGTGGTGCAGTCGGCGCTGCAGCTGATGCAGGTGATCCTCAAGCGGGCTTCAAGCAAGTTAGCTGTTCCACCGGTGTGGTGCGTCACACACGGAACGCAGCATGGGACCATCCGGAGCTATCTTCATTCTGGACTCTGGGGCTTGGCACGAACATTCCGCGCCGAGGAGCCCTCTGTCAAGCTTCACTGTCTGGACCTGGACGGTACGCTGTCCAGCCCAGAGGCTCTTGCTGCTGGCTTGAAGCAGTGGCTCATTGCGCTCAAGGAGACCGTGGAGACGGAAGTGGCCATTGCAGGGTCAGCATTTGCATCACGCCTCAGCAGAAGCAAGGCCAAGCCTCAGAAGCCGCTTGAGCTGCTGATGTCCATGCGTGGGAGCCTCTCGAACTTGAGGCGCTCTTCGCAAAGCAGGGCATGCCTTTTCAGAGAAAACGTAATGAGCCACGATTCTGTGCCCTGTTTCTCGTGTGTGTTTCACATGCGACTGCATTTGTCTCGATGTGCTCCACTTCGTGAACTTGCCAGGCCAGTGGTGCAGGAGTCTCGGCGAGCACCGAAAGGGTCCGAAGTGGAGCTCCGCGTCCGAGCAGTGGGCCTGAACTTTCGAGATGTTTTGAACGTCATGGGCTCCTTGACTATCTTGACTCACACCACTCTGCCACTCTAGCAGCTGTGTGTAGGGTTGTTGAGCACGTGCGCCGGCTTTGTCTCGGACACTTCTCGACACGTGGAAGGTCTCTACCCAGGAGATCCTGGGCCGCCGGGAGCAGACTGTGCAGGACCGACTCAGTCCGACTCAGAAACTGCGGTGCTGCTCAAGTGTCGTGTTGACCTTGGGCCTTGGGCGCCTTAGGCTCTTAAGGACTTGGCCTGACCGCCGTTGAGCATTCCAGAACTCGGGGTTGTGGGCTTTGAAAGAGCCGTCGCAGGCACCCTCCTTACGACAGGCAGCGAGGTGTCCCACATCCGCCACTGGGCTGACTGCTTGCGGAACCAAGTTCTTGAGACCCAACTTGGGGTGGAATGGGAACATTGCTACAACCAAAGGACACCCTCTTTGAAAACTTGGCAAAAGCCAGAGAGACTAAGACAGCCATGATTTCGTGTCTAGGACCCTGGGATATTGTTTTTGGTGCATACGTCTGATCTATTTTTTGTGTCTGTTTGCAGTGTTTTGACAATCGAAGTTCCTGACCTGAGCACGTCCATGCTGTTATGCTGTCACCTCGCCGGCACGATAGTCTGCTTTGCTCCGTGTTGCGATCTAAAGGAAACTGGAAGAAGTCTTGCTATCAGATACTTCTATTGTTGTTTTGGTTAGTCCCATCGTGCCAGCGGTCCTTTAGAGCTACCGTTGTTTCTCCCAGCTTCAACACACTTGATTTTTGTTACACGTGTTGCCACTCCTCAACTATCCTCAACTGTTATGTCCGTAATGACGGTGAGCACTGCGTAATGGTGGATTTATCATGCTTTGCTTGGACCAATCACGCCCATTGTAAGGCCGAGTGTCAGACGTAGCTATGCTATGCAAGCCAGGCAACCTGTAGCCATAGCAGCAGCAGAGTTCATGATCTGAGAAGTTGCCATGATGCCCATAACAGTCGTGGTGTCAAGATCATTGCCGGTCGTAACAGCCAGCAGCAGCAAAGGAACAGAGCGAATTTGCCGAGTGTATCTGGTAGGGAAGTGGCATATCTCGATACAAGACCCGGGCACACATTCAAACGTGTGTAGATACGCATACATGCATGTGTCTCTTGAGTTTCACTAACCAGGTTTTGGCCAAGACGTATTTGGCGAATCGCCGGGTTGCCTAAAGACATACAATGTTGGTCCGGGCGCCTTGCTGACGATGAAGCCCAAGACGTGGTCTTTCGAGGAGGCAAGCTTGCTTGCTTGGTGGGTCTAATGTCTTTGTAAGCATGTACATTGGGCTATGTAGGAGCAGTTCCTAATAGGATGTTTGTATGAGGCACAGAGCAATTAAAGCCGTCAGTTGACGAGCTTGTGGAACATACCTTGAACTTCGAAGACGGCTGTTTCGAAGGCGTCTGCAAACCATGTTGCAGAGCGTCAGCAACTGCTGCAAACATGTAGCTCGAAAGGCTTGTAGGAGGGAAGGAGCAAGCAGTCTTCAATTGGCCAATTGAGACCTACTTTTTGCCAGGCATGCTGCATGCCGGTCATCTTTGTAACCGTGGAAGAGGCACTGCGAGATCTCGCCAACTTAAAACGAGGAGAGCGCGTACTGATACATGCTGCGGCCGGGGGAGTCGGACTTGTGGCGATCCAGTATGCTCAACTTGTTGGAGCGGAGGCCAGATGAAATCAGAATTTAGAAATGATCCAATCTGGCCAAGCAACTGTTGTTGCCCTGCTTCAGGTCTACGCAACTGCGGGGGCAGATTCAAAGCATGAGTTTCTGCGGTCCCTGGGCGTGAAATTTGTCACCAGCTCGCGAAATGCCGCACAGTTTGAAGAAGAGCTTCGTGTATGTCTGGCGGAGTCCGAAGCGGATGGCGTGGATGTTGTGCTGAACAGCTTGAGCCACGATCGCTACATCCCCTTGTCCTTATCTTTCTTGAAGAAGGGCGGCCGCTTCATTGAAATCGGCAAGAGAGGGATTTGGACCCATGAGGAGATGCACGCAGCAAGACCGGATGTTCTGTACGAAAAGATTGCAGCAGACACCATGATGGAGAACGAACCCTGGCGCTACAACGCGTACCTCAACCGCCTCCTCAGCAGGGTCGAAGAAGGCAGTCAGGGCATAAGTACGTTTTGTGTGCTCAGCCCATCTCAACCAACATGACGGTATGAGCTAAAGAAGCCCAGTAGATTCCAAGTCAAGCCGGCCAATGGGCACTTCTGCGGGGTTCTGGCAGGTACGCTGAAGCCCATCAACATGCACAGCTTTGAGGGAATGGACAAGGCAGTGGCTGCAATGCAGTTCCTGCAGCGCGCACAGAACGTGGGCAAAGTAGTGATCAGACACCCAAGCACGTTGGGTGTGAAGCCTGATTCACACTACGTGCTCAGCGGCGGACTGGGTGCTCTGGGCATGGTCACCGCCAGCTATCTTGTCGAAGAAGGTGCGAAGTCTATGACTCTGCTGTCTAGGAGCGGCCGGCCTTCGGGAGATGTTGCAAAGCTCTGGGCCGCATTGAAAGAGGCCAGTGTGGAGCTTTCTGCTACACCCTGTGACATCACGATGCTTGAGGATGTGCAGGCTTTGGGTGTCAGCTTGAAGACAGAGAAGAAGTCGGTTTCTGGTCTCATTCACTTAGCTGCCGTGCTGGATGATGCCACTCTTCCCAAGCTGACGCCAGGACATTTGGAGCGCTCCTATGCCGCAAAGGTACGCGGTCTAAGGCACCTTCGTCTCTGTCTCTGGCAGAGCTCGCAGAGCTTGGACTTCGCCTTGCTCTTCTCCTCCACCTCCGCGCTGTTCGGTTCGCCAGGACAGGGCAACTACGCGGCAGCTAACGCTGCGTTGGATGGCCATGCTCGCTATTGGAAGACTTTGCAAGAGCCTGTGGTTTCGGTGCAGTGGGGCCCTTGGAAAGAAGTGGGCATGGCGGCCCAGAAAGGGACAGTGGAGCGCTTGCGCGCCTCGGGTATCGGAAGCCTCAGCAACGCCTTTGGCATGGCGGCCCTGGCTGGCTGCCTGCAATGGCCGCTGTCGACAACGCTTGTGGCGCAACCAATGCACTGGGCAGCCTACTTGAAGCAGTATGCCAAAGTTCCGTCGTTCCTGTCCCGCTTCGCCAGTGAGGTGGGAGGATCGAGTAGCCCCAGAGCATCTTTGCTTGGTTTAGCGGTCGACTGCCCCTGGCGCCCGAGGTCAAAACCGCCAAGCCGAAGAGTGCACCCGCTGTTGGGGTGCGAGCTGCCACCGTTGGGCCCACTTTTCCACGGCTGGACAAGGCTTGTGCATACTTCTTCATTTCTGATTCTGTCGGCCTCGCTAAATCAGCACTGCCACTTCAACCTGTTGGTCAGGCATCCCTGAGGCAGATGCTTCAGAGCATTGCGTCAGAGGTCGTCGGTGGTGGGGTAGTGGAGCAGGATGCTCCGCTTATGGACTCTGGAACTCCGGCTGCAACAGAAATCGTGAAAATCCAGACGTGCAAGAGCACAAGGCGAGTCTCCCATGCTGTCAGGCATGGATTCGCTGTCGGCTGTGGAGTTCCGAAATCGCTTCACCAGCAAATTGCCAGGACACCTGTGCTGCACGGACCTCGAACATGTCGGAACTGGCACAGCGGTTTCTCGCTTCGCCATAGTGTGTCAAGAGCAGCTCGGAAGGAGTCAACCTTCCGAACACTTTGACCTTCGACTATCCCACGATCTCTTCCATCGCGGACTTCAGCGCCAGTCAGATAGGACCGGCACCGGCAGCAGGTCCGGGCTTCGTCAGGAGCCCAGCTTTCCATGTGGCGGCACGGCGCAGCGCTCTGAAGTCCCTCTATGCCGGAGGCCATGGTCCCTGGCCCCAGCTCAGAAGAGGCAGGACGCAGGGACACACGGATCTGACGTGTTCGCCTCGCTGCTTGCAACTTCGCAGCTTCGGCAACAGGTCAGAGAGTTGCTGAAGCGGACTGCCTCAGACACCACCGGCGGCGTGATCGAGGAAGACAAGCCTTTGATGGAGTCTGGTCGCCCGGCAGCAGGCAGTGGAAGACTTTGCGCCGGAGCCTGGAGAGTCAGAAGCTTAGGAATGGATTCGCTCTCTGCCGTGGAGTTCCGCAACCGGCTCTCCAGCGAGCTTCCATCGCTCAACTTACCCAACACGTGGCTGCACTGCAGAAGGGCCTCTAGGGCCAAGCTCAGTAACAGCCTCCGGTCCACGACCTGCCCTTGCGAGGCTCATTTTCGATTACCCAACGATTGCAAGCATAACTGGCTACGCGACAGAGCAGCTGGGCACGACGGCGACTCCAATGGTGGACGGGGCAGGACAGCCTGTGCACGACCAACAACCTTAGATCTGCAAGTGAAGCGGGTCAGAGTCAGCTTAGGGGGCCGAGACTCGTGCAGCCATAATCGCTAACTAGAATCTTTAGGGACCGAAGACTCAAGACGTGAGCCTCGGAAGGTTCTCTTCTCAAGGGACCACCGCAGGGCAGTCTGGACGAGCAGCTGTCCGTTGTTGGAATGGCGCTTTGGGCTGCAGTTTCAGATTCGGAGCCACTGGCACTGGGGCGTCTGGGGAGCAATGCTCGTTTGGCTCTGCAGGCTGCGTATTTCCCCGGGGCGGCGTCCGACAGCAAAATCTTCCATGCAGTCATCACCAAGGCAGCCTGGAAGAGGTGCAGAGAAAAGGGGGGGGGATGATCTGGTGCTTTTTTTGCTCAGGGCGTCGACGGTGGTGTGGAGGTGCCGTTTGCACGATGGGAGCTGGAGGAAGTCTGGGATCCGAACCCTGATGCGCCTGGCAAGATGTGCCCCACAACGCAGAAAGGACAAACCTGCATTCTAGTTCCGTCGAATGGTTGTTGTGTTGCTGAGAAGCAACACTGCGGACGCTGCTCGTGTGAACCATGCCGCTGGAGACCCCTTTGCCGAAGCTAAAGTCTGCGCTGCGTTCAGGGACAATGACAAATTGCCAGTCGTCAGCTTTCAACCTACCTGCTAAGCTCTCCGTCCAAGGTATCCGAGGCATGGCAACTTCGTGGACGGGGTGGAGTTCTTCGATGCTATGTACTTCGGCATCTCGCCGCCGGAGGCATTGCGCTTGAAGCTTTCGGCTTTATGCGGATATATCGAAATGCAGAATGTCACAACATACTTCCCTCAGATGGAGACCCACCGTGGGACCCAGTTTACGCGCTTGTCTAACGAGTGCCAGGCCCGGGCGATGGACCCTCAGCAGCGGCTGCTGCTCGAAACATCCATGAACAGCCTTCAGGATTCCAGGCTGGAAAGGCCAGGCCTCATGGGAAGCGAGGAGCTGGCCTCGGAATGTCTGACATGGGGCACAAAGGCGAGTCCTAGGAGCTTCGGGTTTTGGAGGTTGCGCTCGCTTGTGCTGAGGTCGCTGTTCATGTGGGCATGACGAACAACGACTGGATTCAGATCCAGAGCCGCGATTCCCGAAAGATCAGTCCCTACACGGCGACAGGAATGTCGTTTTCCGTTGCGGCTGGCCGAATCTCCTATGCCCTGGGTCTAAAGGGACCCAGCTATGTCGTGGACACGGCGTGCTCTTCGGCGCTGGTTGCTCTGGATTGCTCCGCTACCGCCCTGAGGAAGGGCCGATGTGCGGCAGCCTTGAGCGCGGCCGCCAACGTCATGACCAGCGCAACAACCTACATCAGCTTCAGCAAGCCGCGCATGCTCTCTGCCAAGGGGCGCTGCCTTACGTTCGATGCCTCGGCAGACGGCTACGCGCGCGGTGAGGGTGCTGGGGCCGTTGTGCTTCGGAAGCCCAGCGATGTCATCGTGTCGGAATCTGTGGAGACGTCTGCAAGCCTGGAACGGTGTGCGTTGTTGGGAGTGGCTGTGAATCAGGATGGCCGCAGCTCAACCCTCACAGCGCCGAACGGCCCCTCGCAACACATGGTTATGATGACGGCCCTGGCGGAGGCGCGGCTGGTACCCGAGGAGATCGTTCATATGGAATGTCACGGAACAGGGACTCCGCTGGGTGATCCAATTGAGATCCTTGGTTGAACAGCAGCATCTAATTTTGATCGGCTTCCTTTTGATTTTATGAGCTCACAGCATTCATCGATTGGAGAAGAAAGGATTGGTGGCATCAAGTCAGCAAGTGCATCTCGCAGCGCGGACACGCCACTCATCCTGGCAGCGGTGAAGTCCAACTGTGGTCATTTGGAAGGTCCTGCTGCCTCCACCGGCCTCATCAAGTCTGTCGCAATCATGGAGCATGCAGCCTCCATGTCTTCCTTGCATCTTCGTCACCTGAATCCAAGTGTCGCAGCATTGCATGATCTCCCCGGTGCCTTTGTCACCGAAGCCGTGCCCATCTCCAAGCTCGCAATGCAGTCAGCGGGCCAGCTTTGCCGTGTAGGAGGAGGCCTCTCGTCCTTTGGCTTTGGAGGAACCTGGGAGTCGTTTTGCATACCTTTCAAGGCATTTCTGTGCTTTGACGTGCATTGTATTTTGCCTTTCAACGTTTGCAGGCTGCCAGGGCTACCGCAGCTGAGGAACGAACGCGCACGGGGTGGTGTCTGCGGCAACGGTAGCTGGCGAAGCCTCCCGCCTGAGGCTTGCGCGCAAGGAGGCAGAGGCACCCCGCAGACTGCTTCCAATAGCCTTCGAGAGGCGCAACTTCTCGTGGCGAGAGGTGGGTGTGTCAGTGCGAGTGGGTGTTTGAGTCAACGCTTCTGCCCCAACATTCGGGATCCTTGTGTTAGGATTTCATTTGAGCCATGAGGTGGGCTACCGGTTCTTGCGCGCCAAGCCCAGCCACGGCATATTCGAAGTGGCCATGAGCATGGATGTCTATGACGTTGTGAAACACCATGTGGTCTTTGGTTCCATTGTGGTGCCAGGGGTCGTATTCGTGGAGATGGCTCTGGAGGCTACCCGAGAGATCTTCGGTGCAGCGCGTATCACGGATGTGAACATGATGTTCCCCTTTGTGGTGCCAATCCGATCTGGGCCCGAGCCTGCTGCCGTCATGCGCTTCGTCTTGAAGTCCGACACCCGCTTTCAGATCGAAAGCACATCAGCAACTGGGACCGTCACCGTGCATGCCGAAGGTGGCATCAACCGATCAGCAAGAAACGAAGATGCTGAGACAAGCGTGGCACCGGTAGACCTGGAGGCACTCAAGGCCCGCGTCGTTGAAGCTATTCCTGCGAAGGATGTGTATGCCATCATCGACAGCCTGGGTCTGTACCTCGGCCCCATGTTCCAGACAGCCAAGGAGCTTTGGCGGAAGGAGCCAGACGAGGGCAGCGAGAGCAACGTGATTGAAGTTCTTGGACGGCTGAAGCTTGATCATGGTGTCCCCAACCTCGGATACGTGCTTCATCCCGCGGTTTTCGATGGTACGATCCACACCTTGGCAGCTGCATCTGTTGGCAAGAATGTCAACGACCTCAAGATCTTCGGAGGGGTTGGGCGCGTCTCCGTCATTCAGTCGGACAGTTTCTCTCAGGATGAGGAGTACTGGATCTGGCTTAGCATCAAGGAGAAACTTGAGGCCTCAGAAACCTTTGACGTCAAGGCCGAGCATAGTCTTGTAGAGGCACATGTTTCGTGGGGCCTTAAGGCCTTCTATTGAACCGTGGCTTGTGCAGGTCATGTCCAGCAGCGGTGCTGTGCTGCTGCTCATGGACAACGTGGTCTTCCGCAAGGTTTTGCCTGAGCAAATCCAGATGGCAATCGCTGCGCAATCCGCCACAGAAGATGCTTCCGCCTCAGTGGCAGACTCCCTCCACGCCACAACTTCTGTCAGAGCTATTGGAATCTGTGAAACCTTCGGGGAGAGAGTCGGTTGGACTCATCGGGCTCAGGACCAGAAGATTTACGAAGTTGAGTGGCAGGAGGTCGAAGAAGAGGAGGAGGTCGAAGAAGAAGTCGAGGAGCGTTGGCTTGTCCTGCACCACCGAGCTTCGCAGAGCGGCTGAGCTGCAAGTCCATCGGGGCCAGGAAAGGCCGAGTAGGACCCTCCTTTGCGGCTCAGACATGATTCTGCAACTTGCTGGCACAAGGCTTCACGGAGGAGCTGGAATCACATCTTGGCAAAAATCACCGCTATGCTGATCTTGACGACAGCGCAGACTGGGGTAATCTTCAGGACTATTCCAGGCAAGGTCTATTTAACAGCTTGTAGACCCGTTGTGACAGTACGTACAGTTTTGAGACTCTCGGCGTGGGAATTTGGAACCTTGCAGCCACCTTGGCAGCCTTAGCATGGCATGCTTTCATGGTATCGTGAGCCTGGTCAGGGTGGTGAGTCTGGCCGGGGTGGCCAATCTGTCGGAGGATGCAGCGGAGAAAGCGGCTGCAGAAGTTCTGGAGGCGCTCGCCGGCACCCTGAAAGTCATGCAAGAAATGGCAGGAATGGCTTCCAAGGACTGCAACTTACTGCAAGTCTTGAATGCCTCTCGAAGTGAATCGCCGTTGTGTGGTGTGCAGGATGCTGGCATGCCGGAACTCTGGCTGCCAATCTCTTTGAGCAACAGCGTCCTAGAGGGCGATCTCTCGTCCTCGGCTGAGCTCCCCGCGAGTCACGCGGGAATCTGGGGCTTGGCCAAGGCCGGGCGTGCAAGGGACAGGGCGTGCAAGGGCCAGAACGGCCAGGGCCATGGTTTCCTGACTAGTTGGGAGTTCCGAGGCCTTCCGCATCGAGCACCCGGAGCTGAGAACCGTGTCCTTGGACCTGGCGGACGCCTCGGCTTCAGGCTTGGCCAGGCAGCTGCAGCTGCGGCGCAGCGAGCCCGAGCTGGCGGTGAGGAACGGCACTTCGCATGTGCCGCGACTGGTGGATGCCACTTCGAGGCTGCAGAACGCACAGAGCGGCCAGCCGGTGGATCCCGACTTCGGGGAAGGACTCTACGTCGTCACGGGCGGCACCGGTGCCCTTGGCCTCGTCTTCGTGGACTGGATGGTCCGCTGCGGTGCGCGGGGCCGGTTTGCTTTGCTGTCCCGAAGCGGTCAGCCTCAGGCCGACTCGAAGGCCGCCTTCCGCAGGCTCGAAAAGGAGAAGGAGGCTCAGGTGGAGATCTCGGCGTGCAAGTGCGACATCAGCTCCAGAGCTGACCTCCTGCGCGTGCTCACGAAAGAGAACGACCAGGGTCACGTTGTCAAGGGCATCCTGCATGCAGCCGGAACATTGGCAGATGGCCTCATCAAGACTGGGCAAAGCCGCGCGACGCTGAAGGCTGCGTGCTCGGCGAAGGCAGGTTAAGAAGCCCCTTGTGTTGGAGTGTCCTTCAGCTTGGTTGAAGCTTTCCATGCGGTGTGGAGCTTCTGGCAACTAGTTCGCAAGGTGGACGGCTCCCTTCAGCTGCACACAGTGGCCGCCGAGCTGGGCCTGCCCCTGGAGGCCGGGAGGGGAATCGACGAGACTTAGCGAGTGATAGCGAGTGCTGAACGCCCTAGGTCCTAGGCATGGCTGAGAGTCATAGAACCTGGAAGATGACAACTGCACTGAAGCGTGCAGCATCCTCTCGAATGCAATGCAGAAGCATGAGCCCTTCTCTTCCGCCTAGTTTATGTGGCTCTTCTCCTCGGCAGCCGCTATGATAGGCTCGGTCGCGCAAGGCTGCGAGGCAGCAGTGTGAAAGCTGGGGGTTCCATTCTGGCACTGGGAAAGTCCGTGGCAAATGGGTTGCACCCATATGGCGAGGGGGAATACCCCGAAGTTCATCGAACGTGGCAACTGAGGCAACTACTGTGCTGCCAACGCCTTCATGGATGCCATGGGCGCCCGCAGACGTGCCAAGAACTTGCCTGCCATCTCTGTGCAGTGGGGGCCATGGGCAGACGTGGGCATGGCAGCCCGGGCCGGAACGTCCGAAGGCGCCGAAAGCATCGCTTGAGACTCCCAGAAGCTTGCAGAGCCAAAGCAAAAGAAGCGGTCGCAGCGGTCGCAGGCAGCATGGCGCGGCTGGACCCCGAGCGCGGCTTGGAGGCCATGGCCCTGGTGCTTGGGAGCTCCTTGCGACCCTCAGGCCAGGTTGCGGAGAGCGGGAGTGTACCGTTGTGGTGCAATCTCACATGAGAGAGTAGCTGGCGAACCAAAAAGGGGACTGAAAGCATTCGCTGTCATAGAGCCATAGGGTCATAGGGTGGATTGATCTATCGGTTGTAAGACCTTCAGATACGGGAGGACCCCGACGTTTGATTTACAGGTCGGAGCTTTTCGAAGCATTGCAGCTACTTGTAACATAGATTGGCCTGCTTCAGGGACGACCGCAGATCAACATACCAACTTGTCTGGTTGGACCCGCATGCAGGAACACTGGGCATCGCACGGATCAAGTGGAAGTCGCTGTTGGGGCAGATGCCCACCGTTCCGCCAGCAGGGTTCTTAGACGCGGCCTCATCCCCTTGCAGTCTTCCACCTCTAGCATGGCATCGTGCTCCTTCTGCCTCAGGTGCTCAGCAAGTTTGGTAGTAGCAGCGGCCCAAAGAAAGACCCGCGGGCGGTTGGCACCGTGGCGCCTCTGAGAGCAGCTTCAGGATAAGGATGAACTAGATCAGAGAGGAAAGAGCAGATAACGAACTGTATGCGAGTCAGGTAAGTGCTGACGAGATCAAGGGTGCGGTCGTGGGCGTCCTCCAGGACTTGTAGAACTGCAGCAGCGTCGTCCTCGCGAAAATGCGCCATACTCCTATATATGTTCCTGGCAGGATGTCCTTGAGGCGTCTGACCTGGACCTATCCACACCGCTGATGGAAATGGGCTACTTGCCGTGGATAAGCTGCGACGGCTTGAAAGGTTTTGATTGAAGACGCACATCCTCCGTAGATCCTTCACTCCGCTCAGTCCAACACCCTAGGAGCAATGATATGGTACTTGTAGGTGTAGGAGCTTGGGTCATACTGGGCTCATCTAATCCAAATGGTGATGCGACAATCTGAATCACCTGCGGGCAGGTCTTGACTCTTTGGCCGGCGTTGAGTTCCGCAACCGGCTCCAAACCTCCTTCGAGGGATTGCAGTTGCTGCGGCCTGAGACAGTAGGCGATAGGTTGCTTTGAACATGCCTGCCTTGCTCAGGTCGTCAACACTGATGTTTGACTATCCCACTGTACCAGATTTGGTCGACTACATCTACAACCAGGCGGTTGGCTTCTTCTGCATTACCTTTGCAGTGGTCTGCTTTTCCTCTGCACGCGCTGCCAGCTCTGCGTCAGCTCTGCGTGTTGCGTGTTGTCAGATGCGACCAGCTGAAGACGACCTCGCGGCCAGCAGAGCCGTCGGCGGAGTCGCATCGGGCGACTTCTCTGCCATGCTCGCCATCGCAGCTTGGATGATGCTTGTATTTGGTGTTGCTCACCTCCAAAGTGCGAAGCGCGGTTTTGGGCAGTACTCATCCAATCTCACTAAATGCATGAACAAAGGCATACGGAAGTCTAGTGACCCACTGCATCGGACAAGAAGCCCGCTGTTGCAACGAGCGGTTCGTGGACTTTTGGGGTGTCAGTTCAAGTTCCTGGGTGCTCCCATGCTTTGAGGCTAGCCATGCTGGACGGTATCCCGGGTGCTTCACCAACAATGCCGCTCAGTACAAGACATGGGTAGGGATTAGATGAGAAAGCTGCACTGAAGGGACTGTTGCTCAGAGCTGCCTCCGGCTTTGATTTCGCAGCAGACATTGCTGAGAGCCAGGTGGAGGAGTATTGGCACAACATGAGCTGTGGATTTGTCAGGCGCTCAGGCTGAGGATTACCCTTGGGCTTCATGAATCACATGAGTCGCAGTGCGTGGACAGTCGCACGGTGGCCACGTGATTACAGCTCCTTCACCAAACTCAGGACACCACCACAGAGCTTCCGCCCGAACGATGGGATATGGATGCCTACTACGACGCCGATGTGGATGCACCAGGCTGCCGTTGCTGCGTCACCGCTTAGGGGGTGCATCAACCTTTCCGAACCACAGGGCAGAGAGTGACTCAGTAGGAATCGGAAACCCCTGTGAGGCAAGACCTACGTACGACTCGGGCACTTCATCCCAGGTGCACTGGACGGTTAAGTTATTTCATGTTGTTGTGCCTTGAACTGCCAGGGCTTGCTGTAGATGCCCACCGCATTGGCTCGGGCTTCGGTTCTGACATGCTTGCAGTTCAGGCATCGAGCAATTCGATGGAGACTTCTTTGGCGTTTCCGAAGCGGAAATGCGGTCCATGGACCCCCACCAGCGGCTTGGCAGATGCGAAGTAGGAGAGATTTGCAGACTTAGCACCAAGAAAGTGGCTTGCGGACCAGCCGCATTATGAATCAGACGACGAACCTGGCGGGGCGGGCTCTTCCAGATTTTGCTCGAGAGCTGCTTGTGAGCTGTGCTTCATTCACGATCCCCACGCGCTACTGTAGACGGCTTCAGCAACAAACGAGTCAGCGGTAGGAAATGTTCGAAGGGTAGACGACGTGTGTTCGGTCAAGAGGTTGGCTTGAACCTGTAGTCCCTGTCGATTGGTCTTCGATGTTCAAGACCGAGACAGTTGTGTCACCATTGTAGTCCCCGTGCACTCCCCCGTGAAAAACCCGCTATGCTGTACTGCTGTGTTAGCTGTGCACGAGAGGTCAACTGACTGTTGCGAGATGAGTTGAGTTTAAGCACTAGGCATTTGCCAAGGTGGCTGGCGCTCGAGATCAGCGACTTTGCCGCAGTCTCTGCAGTCGCCTTGTGGGGTCGGTCAGCTCGGAAGCCCCGCCCGGCCAGCCGAGGTTTGCAAAATAGAGTACTACTGGTTCATACGAATAGTGGGATAGGCGAATCCCGGCATGCTCCGAGAATTGTACAACCAACATGTGGTGCTCGACGCAGGCACCAGCATCTCTACACTGCAGCAGTTTTAGAAAAGATGATGCCTTCCACTATTGTGCCCGCAATCCAAGGCTACGAGGCTCTCCATGCAGCCAACCTCAACAAGGACACGCGTGCGTGCAGAGGCAAAGTGAGAGGCACGAACTTCGTCGTGGATGCAGGATTCCCTGCAGGGCATGGACTGCGGCGTTTTCGTTGGCTGCTGTAACTTGGGAGGGAACGATGTTGATCCGTTTGGGCTGCCAAGCTGCAGGTCTGTGCACGTTCAGAGGACAGGGGCAACAACACAAAGGTGCGACTGGTACGAGCTGAGGTTTGGACCCTTCTCCAACATTGGCTTAGCCTACTCAGGCGTATCAGGCAAGATGCCTTTGCTAAATGTGCATAGGTGATTACACGTGGATGGATATGTCCGCTGGGATGCATGCTAGCTATGTTGCAGGCCGTGTCTCCCACGCGTTATCTCTCCGGGGCCCTTGCTTCACAGTGGACACAGCCTGCTCATCGACGATCGTCGCCGTGGATTCGAGCTCTCAGGCCGTCAGAATGGGCAGGCCTGGTTTGCAACAGATCAGGGAAGTGTTGGGTTAATGTATGTGGATATGATCTAGATCTAGAGTAGTCGCGGGTGGTTGTGACTGGTGATTGTGGCTGAGGGTTTCTTGCCTCAAGCTTCAATTGAGTTTTGTGTGTTGTTTGTGCCGTGTTCTGTCAAAGATTTGTGTTTATGGGTGGCCCTTCGACGAGTTGATGTGGTCGTTTTGGTGAAATCGCACCAGGACCACGCAGAAGGGGCTCCAAACCGTGATGCATGTGGTTCACAGAGTGAGTGGCGTGAGCCTTGAAGTACAGCGGGGACTATGGCGAGTGTTACCAAAGCTAGAGCGGTGATTGCGCACAAGTCAAGTTTCCCAGGCAAATGGCAGTGAACTATGCAATCAAGAAGAAGCGCCTGATCTAGCGACAGAGAGGACGGCCACAACGTCATCAGGAGTAACGTGAGATACTGTACTTGCATACTTCAGCTGTAACTGGTAGTACTTGTATCGTATGGCAAGGAGCAAACACATTCAGTAAACCAGTACAACATTAATGGGCAGAAATCATTGTCAGAACGACACCAGACGTCACGAAGCCAACATGCTGTTATCTCAGGTTAGAGTGCTGTCGCCTTATAATACAATAAGCGAAACTCCAAGGGCACAGTCGCTAAACTGTGAATTCTGCAAGCTTGGCAATGTATGCAAGTGGTCACACTGTCGCATACGAGCCTAAGCACACACACACACGCACACAAACGACAATGTCAGACCGAAGTACAGGCGCAAAAAATTGTAGCGCCATGAAAACAGAATGCTCGAAAAGGTTTGCCCTGGTAGCAGAGCACCATTTGATTATCAGGGCATAGTTTCCGACTGTCATAATATCACAGTCGAGTCACTGGACATATCATGCAAAACTTTCATGATCTGATGTTCTGGCCATTTCTGGCCTGTGCGATGCCGGGTCTGGCAGGTGCCAGAGTGCTGTGGCAACCGGTGCCAATGTCCAGCTGTCAGGCTGCGTCTGGGCGGCTCGGGAAGGAACCAGTCGGAACCAGTTACGTTTTCGGGTTATCTCGGGTTATTTCGGGTTTCAGGGTATTAGGTATGGGGTCAGGGCCCCAACCAAGGGTTTCGGCCGTCAAGCAGAAACCCGAGCCGAGGTCGGCTTCTCCAAAATGCGTGGTTTGTCCTTCGACGGCCGCTGCAAGACATTTGATGCCCGGGCAGACGGCTTCGCACGGGGTGAAGGTCTCGGCTCTGTCTTCATCCGCGGTGCAGAGGCGGAGGGCGGAGGCAACTTGGTTGGCCTTGCCGGAGTCGCCATCAACCACGATGGGCGCGCGGCGACCATCACGGCGCCCAACGGAACTGCACAGCAGCGCGTGCTGCGGGCGGCGTTGGCAGATCGCGGCACCCAAGGCGAGGATGTAACATGCCTCGAATGCCATGGCACTGGAACAGCACTGGGCGATCCCATTGAGGTGGGAGCACAGAGGGCTGTGTATGGAAAGGGCCGTACAGAATCCCAGCCGCTCATTCTCGCAGCTACGAAGTCCAACATCGGTCACACGGAAGGCCATGGATCAGTGTTGGGTGCATGATGTCATATGTGTCATCATATGTGAGTCACATGTGTCGGTGAATTGAGCGCCTCAAGTCCCAGGCTCGGCAGGTGTGGCCGGCATCTCCAAGGTGATCCTGGCCATCAGAAAGGCGCAGATCACACCGAACCTGCATCTGGAAAGCCTGAATCCAAATATCGACCTGGGTGGCTTCAATACCTTGATGCCCGATAAGCTCGTGGAGTGGAAGAGCGCCAGCATTCGATCCGGTGTGTCTTCCTTTGGCTCCTTGGTGAACAACTTACTTGCTGTTGTGTTTTGGAGTTTCGGGCCATTGAGAGGCAAAGGCTTTTGGGGTAAGATGCCTTCGGAGTCAGGGAGAAGCGATTTGTGTTGGACTCTGCTTGCTCTAGCTGCTCATTTAGACTTCCATGCATCTTTCACGAAACCACGTGATGGCTGCGCTCTCGTTTCCGTCTAGGCTTCTCTGGTACAAATGGCCATGGCCTCTTGGAGGAGATCCTCACGCAGCCAGCCGAGCCAAAGGTGTTGACGCCCATGCGCTTTGCCCGGAAGGTCTATCCCTGGAGGGAGTGGATGCAGAAGGTTGTTTATTTCGAAGAATGGGTGAAGGCCGACTGCAGCATGAGCTCTCCGCTCGACGGAAAGGCCTTGGTTGTCACAGATGGCACTTTGGCGAAGCCCCTCACTTCAGCGATGCCCAACGAGGCGGTCGTCTGGACGCAGATGGACACGGCAGCTATCGGCGAGAAGATGAAGAGTGCCGGGACAGCCACGGCTGTGTTTGCTCGCTGCTTGGAATCCAGAGCCGAGCCCCTGCCTGGCTCACACCTCGAGGAGTTGGTAGCCTTCTTGCAGGGTGCCATTCTGGCGGAGCTCCCGAAGTTGTTAGTCGTGGTGACACGGGGCGCATGCGAAGCCAAACGCACGAATTTCGACGCTGGCGCCCTGATTTGGGGTTTGGTCCGCACGGCGAGAATGGAGATGCCTCGTGTTACGATCAAAACAGTCGATGTGTCAGTCGATTCTGGTCCCGAAGACATCGCCAGGTCCATTGTAGCCGAGTTGCAGGGGCCAGATGGTGACGTTGAGGTTGCTTACACGGCCGAGGGCAGGTGCGTTCCCCGCCTGATGGAAGCGCCACAGAGCGAGGCTTTGGCCATGCAGCGTCAGGACACCATGAGAGATTCGGGCTCGACCACGGACGTGAAGAACGGCCTGCAGATCGTGACTGGTGGTTTGGGAGGACTCGGATCCTCAGCTGTAGAATAGAACCCGAACACCACTGGGTTAAGGCTATTAGCTACAAAATCTCAAGCCAAGGCTTGGTGGCAGCAGAGGAGCTAGCGGCCCTTGGAGCACCAGGCCGGATCTCTTCCCTTCTACCCTCTGTCATCATTTTGTATCCGGGCAAGTCCATGTATGCCGTAGAGTGTATGGCGGTAGGTTGCATTTTCCCGGACTGTACTCGACTACACTGACTAGACTGTCTCTTGTATCGTCCGCGTCGCAGTTGAGAAAACGGAGTTTTGTCGTGCATCTCCGATCTTAGAGAAGATAGAGAAGCAAGGCCTCCTGCTGGCGTCCCGCAGCGGTCGGGTTGTCGCAGGTCCCGAGCCGAGGAAGTTTTGAGTTCCAGGATCAGGAGACTCAGTAGATGACTCGAATCCCCCCAAGCTGGCGGCTGTGGCTTTGCAGAGCTCCTTAGGTCAGAAGCGACTGGAAGAGCAGCTTCGAAGGCTGCAGGCATTGCCGGGCCTGAGCCTTGGTTCAAGAGACGAGCAAAAAGATGAGCTTAAGCACTCAAGCTCCTAAGCGCGCCATCATTCCGTGAGCAGGGTGTGCAGGGGTCTTGTGCTCTCCAGCCTAGGAAAGTACAGCTGACGATTTGCAACGCCGGCGAAGCAGGAGATGTTGCCAAGGTTGTCAAGGAGGCTAAAGATGCGGGCGAGCCCGTGCAAGGCCTGATCACACACACACACACACACCCTTCTTTGCTGCTGGACCCTGTCGCTATCCTTTGTCTGAGAGTGCTTCAGGCGTGGTGCATGCGGCGGGCATCATGGAGCGTTGCCCACTGCCCGACATGGACGCTGCACACCTCAAGAAGGCAAAGCCGCGGCAAGCCAAGTGTGCTCCATTTGCCCAAAGAGGATCTGGACCTTCAACGAAACTTGTAGCGGGCCCACAGGTGCTGGCTCCAAAGGCCAACGGCGCGTGGCACTTGCACAGCGAGTGCCCGGACAGCAGCCTCTTCGTTCTCTTCAGCTCGATCTCCGCTGTTGTAGGCCTGCGTGTCCGTGTGTCCATGCTTCACCTCTGAGATACCCAAATCTTCGGGAGGCCTTGCTGGTTCCGCCTCCTACTCTTCTGCCAACGCGTATTTGGATGCCTTGGCCGCCTGGCGCCGTGGCGCTGGCCGCTCTGGAGTTAGCCTTCAATGGGGCCCCGTGTCTGAGGTGGGCATCACCGCGGCTGCAGGCAGTGATAACTTGGAGGCCTTTGCCTTGAAGACGCTGTCGCCAGCGCAAGTGGGCAGCGCCTTGCGGCTCTGCCTTGCGGCCCCCCCGCCTCGTGCCGAAGTCATGTTGGCCAGAGTCGACTGGCCATCCTTCATGCGAGAGATTGGCATGGAGATCCCGCAGCTAAAGGATCTGAAGTCGAAGGAGGCTTCCAAAGGAGCCGGGAAGGCGGCTCAAGGCCAGGAGCCCAAACTTCAGCAACGCCCTGTCAGTCTTCCGCGCCCTCAAGCCATCTCAAGCCCATAAGCCATCAGGTGCCGGAAGTGCTTTGGCACAGCTGCCACTGGAGGAACGGCGCGGAGAGGTCTTAAAGTCCATTAGGGCCGCAGCTTCGGGCATGGGTTTGGCGACCCGGCAGCACTTCGGAGAGCCATCCCTCGGCCAGTTTCTCAAGTTCTTACCATGATAATGACTACCGTTCGCGGTCGTCTACCAAGATTGCTATATGCATTGCGGTTGGGCTTTGCACGCATGAGCAGGAGTTTTCGCGGAAGGAAGTTATAGACACCCCGTCCAGAAAGGGATGGAGCGTGGTGTAGGATGGCAGAGGGTTTCGGGCTTAGGTTGTTTCGGGGTTTGCGGTGTAAGTTGTAATGTTCAGTCTTGTGCCATCCCCAATGCTGACCCCAGGGCTGACCCCGAAGCCCAATGAACAAATGGCATTTGGTGACTGGTTCGTAGCAAGCAATCAGATAATCAAGAAAACTACCAAGCAAAGCAACACACCCAGGAGATGAACGACACCACGCCTCTCATGGAGGCTCGATGACACAGGGTCCAAAAGCCGAAAGGCCAAAACCCCCCGACCCCGAGACCTGAAGCCGTAACAGACAACCCCTTGACCACCACCCCGAACTCCTAAGCTGTCTCACTCCCAAGACCTTCAGCCCACAAGCACCGGACAGGCCGGGATCGATTCCTTGTCGGCCGTCGAGTTTCGGAACAAGGTGCGCCTCGGGCTTTTGGCCTTGGGGGCTGAGCACTTTTAGGTCTTGCTATCCTTCATGGATTCATCATGCCCCGACTCCGCCGGCGTGGCGGAAGTGCCAACTTGCGGGTAAGGGTGGGCGTGCTAGCCTCAAGCTCAAACACCCTCCAAAGTTGCCTGCTCAGCGGCCGCGTCGGAACACAGTGACTTCTCAGGGCGACTTGGCGTCGCAGTCCTCTTCTCAGGGAGAAAGAAGAAAGAAGAGGTCGGCAGTCCCGATACGCTTCTGAGCAAGCCAGCCACTCGTGGCACCACTCTTTCTTGCGTGGCTTCTCCTTGGAGCAAGTCCACGCAACGGCTGAATGACTTGCATCGGGCCCGCCTTGCGGCCTTGCACCTGAGGCTGGCCTTTCAGCTCAAGCCAGCTTAGCTTGGCCACGTCCCAACATCTGCAACCCTTTCTCCGCAGGCCACCCTCCAGCATCAGCGCCGGACTGCCCCTGACCATTCCCATCTCATGCGCTGACCGTGTAGTTTAATTAATTACATCACATCACGTTCGAATTCACACCTCGAGAGGCCTTTCTGGCCCACCATGAAGCCCATCCGTAGCAGAAATCACTTTCCCAATCAGCTCGGAGTTTGAAAGCGCCCTTGGCGCTCACAACATGTTTAGGACTCACCGGTCTTGAAAGCCATCAGCTCACACCTGCGGGGCTTTGGGTTTTGGGATCAACGGCTTGGTGCATCAGACTTTAGTATTTTTTGGGGTTCACAGTTCACGGTTTTGTCGAAACCAGGACCCCATAGTTTGCGGAAGAATGCAGGCCCAAGTCTTCGTATTTGTTTATACTTAAGGCCATGCTTTTATGCCTTCTCATGCAGCGTCGCGTAGCGTTCCAGAGAGCATCACAACGCAGCAGAGCAGAACACGATGCACTATGTCACTCTGTCACATCATGTGTTTAGTATGTTTACTTCAGTCTACGGCGCGCTGGATCGTTAGGACAAAGTAAGACAATCTCGAGGTTGCGATTTACAAAACGGAATGTAACACGACACAGCACATGTAGCACCGGCTAAGTGTGAGTTGAATTGCAGGTCTCGAGCGAATTCCGCTCGGCCACTTTGCCAAGCACCCTGATGTTCGACTACCCCACCCTCACTGCACTTGCAGATTACGTGGCCGAGCAGCTTGTGCCCACAAAGATTGAATGCTTGCCGGTGGCGTCTCAACTTGGAGCTCCTGCTTCCAACGAGGCCATTGCAATCCTGGGGGGCTCATGTCATCTTGCGGGTGACAGCTGGTCCTTGGAGAAGTTCGAGTTCATGCTCTCCCAGGGTGTGGACTGCAGTGTGGAAATGCCGCAGAGCAGATGGGAAGTGGATGGGTACTACGACCCCGATGCTTCCACTGGCCTGAAAATGTATGTGAAACACGCGGCGTTCATGGAAGGTGTTGAGCTCTTTGCGGCTGCTGTCGGGCGCTCAGAGAGGGCAGGTATGACACTGGGTAGCTGTTCTGGTTTGGGAGGTTGTCCTATTCCACATGCAGCTGTCGCGAGAGAAGCCTTAATTAATCTCATCGCTGACAGCTATGAGGCTTTCAACATCAACAAGGCCGAAGCCGAGACCATGGACCCCCAGCAACGGCACCTGCTGGAGGCAGCCTTCGAAGCCTTTACGGCGGCCGGCCTCGGCAGGGGCAGCCTCATGGGCAGCTCTGGGGGTGTTTTTGTGGGTCAGGACAAGTGCGACTGGAATCGCATGATCACCGGCGACCAAAGCGGTCCCTATGCAGCCACGGGCGGCTCCTCATCCATTAGCGCAAATCGGATCAGCTATGCCCTGGGCTTGAAGGGCCCGAGTGCAACCATGGATACGGCGTGCTCGTCGTCTTTGGTTGCAGCGGACACTGCAACAGTCACTCTTCGACGCAGGAGATGTGAGGTGGCGGTGGTGTGCGGTGTGAACATGATGTTGCTTCCGCAGACTTTCGTTGCTTGCTGTCAAGCACAGATGCTCTCAAAGGCTGGACGGTGCCGCACCTTTGATGACACTGCCAGCGGCTATGCTCGCGGCGAAGGTGTCGGTGCACAAGCGCTGGAACGTTTGGGAAGTCACCAGGGTTCCGGGCTGTTGGCGGAACTGCGTGGTTCAGCTCTGAACCAAGATGGACGAAGCTCCAACCTCACCTCGCCCAACGGTCCATCACAGCAGGCAGTGGTGTTGGCTGCACTTGCAGAAGCACAAGTTCAACCGGCTCACCATGTGTGTGTAGAAACCCATGGTACAGGCACAGCCCTCGGAGACCCCATCGAAGTCGGAGCGTTGCAGGTGGTTCTGGGGGGGTCACGGCTTCAGACTGTGCAACTCGGCGCGGTGAAGACCAACATTGGCCACTTGGAAGGTGGTGCAGGGATGGTCGGACTTACCAAGCTGGCATCGGTCCTGTCTCGCAACTGCTTGTCGGCCAACCTACACCTCAGAGACATGAACTCTCACATCTACCACGACATGCAGGAATTTCCCGTGAACTTTGTTTCGGAAGCATGTCCCCTGACTCGATTCGGAGGGCACCTGATCCAGGAGAGGGAGACAGGGTCATCAAACTCCAACAAAGGGGCGTGCCTCCGCACCGGCGACGTGCTCTCTTGACCCAGTGAAAGAAAGACAGAGATAGAGATGGAAGAGCTCAGAAGAAGATGAGACGAAATAGTTGTGTCAGTACCCTCTTAAGGTAGTTAGCTGCCCAAGTAATTCATTCCGCTTGACTCCAGGCCCTAGTCAGGCGACGTCAGCGGCGTCCGTGTCCTCCTTCGGATTCGGCGGCACCAATGGCCACGTGCTGCTTGCTCGGCCGACGACGAAAGCAGGTCGGGGCCGCTTTTTTCCTTAGGGTTTGCGTTCCTGGTGGTCCCTGTTATCCAGAAGTAGATGCCTTAACTTAAGGTGGAGGGCACCCTAGTTTAAGAACCCTTCAACCAAACCCAGCCCGCCTGTGTTGCTTGCACGTGTTCTTCATATCCACGGCCCAGACCTCACCGCAGCCTTTCGAAAGTACAAGCTGAGGGAGAAGAGCTATGAAGCTTCTTTTCAAGTTCACAGGTCAATAAAACGTGCACTGCCAAGACTATGCAGGCTAAAGCACTGTTGCATGGTGGATACTTTCCGGCGCCCTGCGTTGGGTCCGGCAAGTGCGAAACAATAGTGGAATGTTCGACGAGAGCTTGAGGCTGAGCGGCAGTGACATCCACCTCTTTCAGGTTCGCTGCAGTGTCATCCGTCCGATCCACATAACCAGCCAATTTGATCACCGGGCCGACTCGTCTTCTCTATTTTGGAGATTGGTTTGCCCGTACGTCCCAAACAAGCTACCCTAAGCCCTTTGTACAAAGCCAATGCCTCCGAGTTTAAGACAGCCAAGCTCAATCTTGCAAACAATGTTTGTTGTTGCTACTGCGGTGTTTGCAGGCAGCGGAGTCCTACACATGTCCGTCATGCGAGGCTACACACAGAAGACTACATCCATATAGCGAACCTGTTCTTACTTACTGTGTCGTTTTTGATTTGGCGCTTCTCTTCTTTGTGTCACCCTCGTGCAGTCAACCAAATTGACACGCATTGCTCTTCTTGTTCTTGTCATTCACTGCACTCTTCGGTCTTGCCTGGTTCGTTTTCTTGCTTTCCCTGCACTCACTCCTTCCTTCGGAGCTCGCCGGTGCGGAGTTGTCCGCTCCTTGTCCTCTTATTTCGTATTTTTCCTCCCAGCTTCAAACCAAGCCTTGTCATGGTTGAACTCGCGAGGATCACCAAGTTTAGAGCTGCCATGGTCGCGCATGTTGTAGTACCCTCTCTACGCGGCAGCGTCCCAAACCAAAGCGGTGTCCTTTTCCTGTTACTTCTGTTCTTCGTCTTCCACTTGTCAGTAATTCAATATTGTGTTGTGCACATCAAAAGGATTGCACTCGAACGATAGATCCGTTGCCCCAATTGCGTGAACTGCATGATGTATGCATACATCACAAGCTACAGAGCGACTATCTGCCTATTGATCCCCTCTCTTCCCCGCGAAGGTACGTTAGGTAGATAAGGGTCCGGTACTGACAGCTCCACTAACGAACGGCTGGCGAACTGCACCGTCGAAAGATCTTTTAGTCGGGCTTCGTACAGGTTTGGGACACAAATTTTCAGTATTTTCAGTCCCTTCTCATTCTGCACACACGGCCGCAGCAAACGTACAGGACTGGCAGCTGTGAAGCGCTCGGCAACCGACCTGGAGCGTCAGGCAAGTGAGGGCCAATAGTTCGTCTGATGTCAGTGCTCATGGATACTCAGCAGCCTTCTAGGTCCCGCGAAGCAGTTGTGCATTGGCAGGCCTACCCCTGGCGGGAAGCCAGCCATCCTCTGCTCAAGCGGCGAAGTATTCGAGACGACGGGGCAACTGTGTTCAGCTGCTCCTTCGGGGGCCATGTTCTCGCTCTTCTCTCTCACCACATCGTGCACGGCGAGGCGTGCTCAGCTAGCTAGGTTTGGGAGATGAGAGCAGGAATAACAGTAACACAGGTCAAGGAAATGACCTAGAAGACCATCTAGTAGTGAGGATGAAACCAAGACTTATGCCAATAGTTTCATGGTATGACTTCGGGATTGGTGGCATCCTTCCAGGTTGTCGTTCCCGGCGCATGCTATTTGGAGATGATTGTCGCCGGATGTACAACCTTCGTAGGTTGCGGCCTGAGTGCCCGATTTGGTACTCGCATGTACTCGCGCAAGCTGTGGTTCGAAGATCACGCAGGCAGCATAAACGGCAGTGTCATGATCCGCTTTCAACGGCCTTTTGTCGGCCACTGAGGCAGTGAAGCCTGGTGTGTGGAGAACCTGGGTTTCGCAAAGCCTTTGGTGCTGCGGCCTTTTGCCTGCAAGCGCTGGCGGCCGCTGGCAGCTAGCTGCCATAAGGTGGGCCTGGCGAACGACGAAGCTTTTTTTGAGTTGCCCAGGCTCCTGCCGGATGGGTCTTTGGAGGAGCCCACAGAGATGCGCTTGGTCTTGCGCCCGGATGGACGGCTTGAGGTGGAGAGCGAGATCGGTGCGCGCCTGAGAAGCTGACAGGAAAAGCTGAAAGATGCCTTCGACCAGCTTTGTTGTTTTGTTATCCTGTCTGAGGTAGCGACCCCGAGGACAGCATTGTTTCTGTACACGTGGAGGCAACGCTGGTCAGGAAGTCTGGCGGCTGGGTCAAGACGAACCGACCGGAGCAGGACTGCGGGCGAACAAAATCTGCGTGCGGCATGGGATTTTGCTGGTTGGCACAGGGCCACTACCAACATCATGTTTGGCAATGTGTCTTCAACTATTGGCATTGCTTGATTTTGCGGATGACGCTTGGGAACTTGAGAGCTCCAACTTAGAAGGATGCTCGAAGATGTTGTAACGGACATCATCTTGTGTAATGAACGCCCGATCTTCTTCCGCGTGGCCACACGGTGAATATGAATTAGTCAAGTCGGTTGCGGAAGGGTGCTGTCTGGTTTTGGGCACGTGCTGATGCTCTTGATTCGGGAATGGGTTAGTGCGTCGGGTGCCCTTGCATGGCTGGCACATGTCACAATCCCAATTTCAGAACAAGCGAGCGGCTACTGGCAACAGCTCATGATTGCGGCCGCCATCGTCATCATCACGTAGTTCTATCAGCGTCATCATCATCATCATTATCACCATCCTCATCCTCCTCCTCCTCATCATCATCTCCATCGTCATCATCACCATCTTCATCACCACCATCATCATCGTCATCGTCATTGTCATTGTCATCGTCATCGTCATCTTCTTCTTCATCCTGCTCATCAACTTCATTTGTTCAGAAGTGGAGAACGCACTTCATGTGTGTGTGTGTGTGTGCGTGCAGATTGCATTCTGCAGGATGGCTTTGACCTGGACCAGCTCCGATCGCAATGTCGCCAGACAGCAAGGTCGACAGACCACCTCAATGTCGTTCGGTTTTCAGATAACCACAAAACACATTTGCACAGCAGTGCTTCTCATCATTGCATGACCGCGGTCAATAGCATCATCCTGAGTACGATGGTTGATGTTTTCCATCGCTGCTAACATCATCGTTGCAACTCGGAATATCTTTATGACCCGGCCATTCGTATCGGAAAGAACAATCTCAGCATCTGGATGCTGTCATGTCCCTTTCTTACGATCTTTACGGCTGTCATGCTGTCATGGAGCCCAGGCCCCGAGCCCGTGGACGTCGACCTGATGTACTCCTGCGGCCGCAAGAGCGGCTTGCCGCTTCA